TTGTATATTGTAGCATGTAGATTGAAGCTTTTAGATTGTATATTGTAGATTGAAGCTTGGAGCTTGTAGATTGAAGCTTTTGTAGCTTGTAGCTTTTGTAGCGCTTGTAGCTTTTGTAGTTGATGAGCAGAGCAGAGCGTTCTTCCAAACGAAGATCCTGAAGATTGTACCTTGTAGCTGCTTTGGTTGTCCATGCAGGTTTAGAGTTGGTTCTTCAATGGAGCTGGCTACGGTGAAGCTGCTTCTTCCAAACGAAGATAAAGTGAACTGAAAACTGAGGCTATTTATGGTGCCTTAGGGCTCATATGATTGGAAGATTAGTGATTAGCAAATACGAGACTGGACGTGATAAATCATAAGCACGTGATCCTCTCGAAATTAGTTTATGAATAAACTTCACTTAATCACCCTAATTAAACAAAGTTAAAATCAGGATCCTCCCTTTGCTATATTTCTTAGCGAGAGTTTAGTTAAAGGATCGTCTTTAAAGAACGTATTTTGCAAAATAATAAATTAGAGCATACTTTACCACACAGGGTAACTTTGATGGGTTCTGGAAAATGAATTCAATGTCCACTCCAGTGAAGAAAAGTAATAAAATACACTTTTATTAATATAATAAAATCCAGTGAAAAAGTAGAATAAACAAAAGACAAATTACAGAAACAAAAGTCATTACTTTATTCTCCGTTGAGAATAAAGGGCCTACGACTCTCAGTATACAGAAGTCAGGAAGCGCAAAGCTGAAGAGTACATGTCAGCTTTTATACTCAGTGTCTCAGTGACAGTATTCATAAATCTACCCTAAACACAGGTGCACAGACTACTTAAATCATACATTCAAGGAGCATGCTAAATCACTTGAACAGTAAAAAGACAGATATATAGTCATCAAGAGTACATTGTATCATATAAATTAACATTTAGGCATTTTAATATAAGCCTTGATTTATAATGTGCTATATAGTTATGCACTCAAATTCAGGTGCGTGAACTCGGTAGAGAGTTCAGCAAAAGTACAAGTTGGGAGTTCATTCAGAGTTTGACTACTAGCAAGAGGGTCATCTGAAGTAGCAAGGGGTTCACAGAGAGTTTGTCCAGCTGATTTGTTTGCTCGCCCGCGCCCTCTGCCAGAAACGCCTTTCCTTTCTCTTACGTTTCACTTCATCATTAAGAGTTGTGCTTTTACGCATAGGAATATCAGAATACATCAGTGATTTTTTTGTGTGATTTTTTTCTCACATGATTAATGTCATTTGACCCATCAATCATTACAAGGTTCATAAATATATAAAGTCTCGTGGTCCTCTTATCTGAACTCAAATTTAGCAGTTTTCTTATATTTCAAAGTATTCAAGAATATATTAGATGACATTTAATATTCGGTTTTATTAAATAACAATAGTCAATAATTCTAATTGACACAAACTCCAATAGTTTTGTCATTTTATTAAACTCATAGTTTGTTTTTACATCAGATGAATGACTGAAATCACACTGTTAATGTAATCTGTGTTCTTCTTTCTCAGATTGGTCATGTGTAATCTCACTGTTCAGTGCTGTGAGAGTTTGTCTTCAGCTCTACAATCCTCAAACTGTGTGCTGAGAGAGCTGGACCTGAGTAACAATGACCTGCAGGATTCAGGAGTGAAGAAGCTCTCTGATGGACTGAAGAGTCAACACTGTAAACTGGACACACTGAGGTAAATGATTCTCCACTCAACAGATACAGTTTCATATTGGGTTACCTGATGTGGAGCCCCATTCAGTGGATTGACAGAAGAAAAAAACAAAACATTTACAGGGTTGTGATTTTAATCATAGCTTTAATAATGTATGTTTATCTATAAATATATTTAAAAGCTTTACTTAGTCTATTATGAAATGTTGCACTTTTAGAGCTTCTCTTTTTCCAATATACCCAAATGTGACTTAAAGTTAAAGGAATCAGTTTATTTTAAGGATCTTTATAATGAATTACCTCTGAATTATTTATTCATATTTTATATTTTTATATTTATATCTGTTGTGTCCTGGTGAAGTTTAGACATGCTCTGCTGTTTGTTCAGTTTGCAGTTTCTTCTAAACATATAAAAGTCTCACGACACTCTTAATATTATCTAAACCAGTGCTCCACAACCTTTTTCTCACTGCGGACCGGTCAACGTGAATCCACTGTGTACTCATTTGGAACTTTATTAGCACATTGCTCCAACATTACAATGCTATTATAACATTAGGAAGTAATAACTTTATTAACACATTGCTCCAACAACATAACATATTATAACATCAGTAACGCTAAATCAATGGGAGCCCTGAGCTTGTTTCTTTGCATTGAGATGGTCCATAGAAGGAAGATTGCTGGAAAGAGCGCGTGCACGTCTAGAACGTGCTGACGTGAGACGTCTGCTTTAGCCAATCAGAACAGTCAGACGCATTCACGTCCGCGCGGTTTATGAGAATTAAAGCCTTTGCATATTTTTCCAGACACATTTAGCTGCTAGAAATTAGTCACATAACATTTATATGTTCCCTTTAATGCCAACCGTATAAATAATTATCGATAAGATGCTTATGATAAGCCGTTGTTTGTTTACCTTCAAGCTTTGCATGTGCCTGTGAAACAGCCCGTGGGCGCAGCACACACACATACAGTATCATGTACATCTCGACATGCGAAAGTGTTTCTCAAACTCCTTTAACATTGAAGACTGGTGATCGTGCAGCAGCTTGGTGAGTGAGGGCGCAGGCTCAGTCTCACACAAAATCCACGCTAATGTTTGAAACACGTCCGATATGCCTCTGTTCACGCGCCGTCTCCACAAATCCAGTTTAAATGCAGCTTCTTTATCTGCCAACTTAAAGATAATTCATTCTTGTTCAGCCCCGTACTGATTGATCCACACACCAGCACCCGCCTGGGGGTTGAAGACCACTGATCTAAACCACTACAATAATATGAAGACACACTATAAGCCTGTATTGAGCAGTTTACTGTAAGAGACCTGGTGAACTGATGTATTTACTACACATGCATCTGAAAATAACCCTGATTACTCATTCACATGAAGCAATATATTGACTGAAGATCTTCTGTCAGAAAGGCTGTGTGTGAAGGAGAGTCAGCGCTCATGATTATTGATCAGGTGTTTCTCAGCTGACAGAATAAAAGTCCCCTAATGCTCCATCAGTGTGAATGTGACTGTCAGGCTGGTGAAAGAGACATTAAGAGAGCGGGTTTGTGTTTGTTTTAGTTTATTCACATCATCGTCCACAATATAATATACAAATGAAGATCAGGTCATGTTCTGTTGCTCTTTATACAGTAAAGTTTGATCTACAAGCTGAAGTATGTGACTGTCAGGGCTGTAGTACTCGAGTCCAGACACAAGACGTTTCTTTCTATAGTCTAGGACTCGCTAATATTCAGACATGAACTTGGTCCAGCAATAGTCATTGGTTGAGTGTGTTTGTCTGGAAAACAGGAAACATCACTGTTAAATCCACTGTGAGTCTAGAATGGGCACTGACACTCTCGTGTGATACGCTTCCCTGCTGAAAAATCCAGTTTGAACCAGCCTAGGCTGATTGGCTGTTTTTAGCTGTTTGACCAGGCTGGTTTTAGAGGGGTTCTGGCCATTTCCAGGCTGGTTTAAGCTGGACATAGCTGGTTTTGGCTGGGCTCACAGCCTGGCTAGGCTGGTTAAGCTAGTTTTAGCTGGATTTAGCTGGTCATTTTCCTGCCTGACCAGCTAAGACCAGGCTGGAAATGGCTGGAAATCAGCCTGGAAATGGCCAAAACCCCTCTAAAAGCAAGCTGGATTTTTCAGTAGGGTTGTCTGTCCATATGAGTGCCCTGGTCACTCAGACACATGTGGGACACCGCTCTATTTCTTAAGACTCCTGGCGTTTAAAGCTAAACTAATAGAGCTGATGTTTAGCTGAGAGCTAGCTAACGTTAACTGCTAGCATGTTCCATCTTAAACATAAGAGTTAGCATTTGCACTGGTTAGAAAGCAGTGAAAGTAATATAATATAATGTATGTCTGATATCTGCACATTTAGGGAGCATCTTTAAAGTCTGGACACCTGATTAGGGCTGGGCGATGTGGATTTGAGTAGATCAGGTTAGATTAGATCAGATAATCCACATTATTGAGGGAAGATAATCTAGTGAAGTGATCAAGTGAATGTCGGCCCAGTCTGTAAGTGTAGATGGTCTAGTAATAACACGACACTTCCCTTTAGATTGTAGATGAATGCATATGCTAAAGCTTTATTTCATGTGTCAGTCGCTCCATCTCACCCACAGGAACAGGCTGACAGACATCTAGAATGACTTTAACACACAAATAAAGCAAACAAAGCTCCAGACATGTGAAGGAGAGATCGGGCCTTTTGCTCATGAGTATAATCTGAGGTTTAGACCCCCTCACACGCTTTGGAGAGGAATGTGTGAGTGAAAGAGAAAGCGGATGGCCAATCATGAGCTGCGGCCTCAACACATTACACACATATTAGTCTGAGCACTGGCTAGACAGTATCTATAGGCTGTATCATATTTGCTTGTCCACAGTTTTAGTAGTTAATAAATGCGTCTTGATGATGCTGTGATGTAGGGCTGGACGAGAGTGTGAAGCTGCATTGAGTTTGTGCTGGCCATCCTCCAAGATAAGCAGCTCAGCATCTGTCTGTTGCTCTGTCCCGCCTGGGTGTTTTGGTCATTCAGAGGAGTTCACCAGCGCTTCTGTCTTCTCCAGTTATTCCTCTTCAGAGATCGTGTGTGTGTGTGTGTGTGTGTGTGTGTGTGTGTGTGTGTGTGTGTGTGAGTGTGTGTGTTTGCTGATGTGAGGGCTGGATCAATAAGGAGAGCTGATCAGGATGTGTGTGTTCATCACTGCTGTTGACATGAGCAGAAACAGCAGTCAGCATCTTCACAACACAAAGAGATGTGTGATTGTCCAACTGTGTGATGTGGACTATTGCTGTGTTTGTAGATTGTCTGGCTGTATGGTGACAGAGGAAGGCTGTGGTTTTCTGTCTTCAGCTCTGACTTCAAACCCCTCACACCTGAGAGAGCTGGATCTGAGCTACAATCATCCAGGAGATTCAGGAGTCAAGCTGCTCTCTGAACAACTGGAGGATCCAAACTACACACTGGACAAACTCAAGTATGTGGAGCAGCACTGGCCTTGTGCTTTTACACTGAATGGCTTTAAAAAGACACTAGAAAGCTCTTTTGTGATCAGCTTCAGTTTTCTGTGAGGGTTATGGGGTGAGGACAGACAGAAGATACAGCTTGTAGAGTATTCCAGTCATGTCTATGAAGAGCAAATCATTGAGTGTGAAATGAATCTCCTCTGTAAATGTTGGAGTGTATTGGCTCAGTTACAGTGACATTAAGCGGGACACACTGTACAGTTTCAGCATTTGAGCTGAGCAGAGAAACTTCTTCCTCCATTTCTGCTGAAGAATCCTACAATATCAGGTCAGGAATAGGGTTGGGGATTGAAGATGGATTCAGATTCTGGAATCAGACACTTGGATTAATGTTCAGACTCTTGTTCTAAAATCAACATCTGGATTCCTCTTCTCTGTGCACACATGTGTATTTTTCACTTGCTAATCTGTCAGGAACTTGGGCGCTGGCGAGCAGCTTTAATAATCTGAACATAGTTTAGAGATGGACTGCAACATGTGCTCAAAGGCTGCATGTGCTGAAGAACGATGGCAAAGCTAAGTGTGATCACTGTAATAAATGAATGTTGCAGCAGGGTGTCTCCATCAACATGAGCAGTATCTGCGCTCGCTTCACCAACAGCAGAGGAAAAGAACGCACTGTGTTACATTCATTGTGCATCCCGGCTCAACCAACAAGTGTTGTGTGTTTTAGCTCAAGAGTTTGCAGCGTGTAGCTGAGCGGCTCAGTGCTAGCTTTAGCTTATTAGCTGAGGGGGAAACTAAACAGCTCATTCTCTCCATCTGTGTGTGTTTACAGTCTGGATCATGGAGGACACACAAGGATTACAGCAGGACCACGCAAATGTAGGACTACACACACACACACACACACGCACACACACACACACACACACACACAAACACACACACAAACACACATACACACACACACACACACGAGGATTACAGCAGGACCACGCAAATGTAGGACTACACACACACACACACACACACACACACACACACACACACACACGCACACACACACATACACACACACTCTTACACACACACACACGCACTCTTACACACACACATACACACACACACACACACACACACACACACACGAGGATTACAGCAGGACTGCACAAATGTAGGACTACACATATACTCACACACACACACACACACACGCGCGCACACGCACAGACACACACACTTTCACAGACACACACGCACACACACGCATACGCACACACGCATATGAGCATACACACACGCGCACGCTCACACACACTCACAAACTCTCACACACACAAACGCACACACTCGCAACCCCACGCACACACACACACACAGTCTCACACACACTCACATACATGCAACCACATGCACACGCACATACACACACATGCACACATTCTCTCACACACACACACACACACACACACTCACACACACATTCTCTCTCTCTCACACACTTACACACTCTCTTACACACACACACACAATCAAACACACACTCTCTTTCTCTCTCACACACACACATGCTCTCTCTCACACACGCACACACATACACTTCTCTCTCACACGCACACACACACAAACACATCCTCTCTCTCAAACACACACACTTTCACACATAAACACACACACACACACTCTCTCTCTCTCTCACACACACGCGTCCTCTTTCTCAAACAAACACTCTCACACACATACACACTCTCACAAACACATACACACACACATTCTCTCTCTTTCTCACACACACACTACCTCACATAGACAGACACACACACAAACAGCTATGAACACACAAGCACACACACACACACACACACACACACACAGCTGTGGTTGTAAATGTGTGTGTTCTTGTGTTCAGATGTCTGTTTCCTCACTCTGGATCCAAACACAGCAAACACTCAACTCATTCTGTCTGAGGAGAACAGAGAGGTGAAGAGTGTGAGAGAGAATCAGCCGTATCCTGATCATCCACACAGATTTGATGATCATCTTCAGGTGTTGTGCAGAGAGAGTGTGTGTGGACGCTGTTACTGGGAGATTGACTGGAGTGGAGATGATGGTGTGTGTATATCAGTGTCATATAAGAGCATCAGGAGGAAGGGAATAGGTCGTGAGTGTGTGTTTGGACGTAATGCTCAGTCCTGGAGTTTGTTCTGCTCTTCCTCCAGTTTCATATTCAGACACAATAACACACACACTGATCTCCCAGTGAAGGCGCTCAGCAGGAGAATAGGAGTGTTTGTGGATCACAGTGCAGGAACACTGATCTTCTACAACATCTATAGAGACACAATGAGCCTCATCCACTCAGTCCAGACCACATTCACTGAGCCGCTCTGTGCTGGGTTTAGGCTTTATCCTGGATCATCAGTGAAACTGAGCTGAAGACTGACGAGAGATTTACCCAGAATCCTCTGCAGGAGCAGGCAGCAGCAGTGTGTGTGTGTGTGTGTGTGTGTGTGTGTGTGTGTGTGTGTGTGTGTGTCTGTGTGTGTGTGTATGTTCACTGTTGTGTACGTGTGTTTGTGTCTGTGCATGTGTTTACTGTTGTGTGTGTGTGTGTGTGTGTGTGTGTGTGTGTGTGTGTGTGTGTGTGTGTGTGAGAGAGAGAGAGAGAGAGAGAGTGTGTGTGTGTGTGTGTGTGTGTGAGAGAGAGCGAGAGAGAGAGACAGAGTGTGTGTGTTTGTGTGTGTGCGTGTATGTTCACTGTTGTGTACGTGTTTTTGTGTCTGTGCATGTGTTAATTGTTGTGTGTGTGTGTGTGTGTGTGCGAGGGAGAGAGAGTGTTTGTGTGTGCGTGTGTGTGTGCGTGTGTGTGAGAGAGAGTGTGTGTGTTCGTGTGTGTTAGTGTGTATCTGTGTGTGCAAGAGAGTGTGTGTGAGAGAGCGTGAGTGCAAGAGAATGTGTGTGAGAGAGCATGAGTCTGTGAGAGAGAGTGTGTGTGTGACAGTGTGTGTGTGACGGTGTGTATGAGAGAGATTTTTTTGTTACTTTGAGTGTGTGTGTGTGTGTGTGTCTGGTTGTGTAAGAGAGAGAAAGAGAGAGTGTGTGTGTGTGTGTGTGTGTGTGTGTGTGTGTGTGTGAGTTAGAGAGAGAGAGAGAGAATGAAGTCTACTTTAGTGAACAGAACCTGCATAAGCTAATAAAGTTGTCAATAACATTCAGTTTGTGGCACAGAGTGATCATTTGGGAGCCACGCGCGAAGTGAACCGGTCAGCAATGATCGTTCAGCAATGAAAATGAAACGGAAAGAGCACACAGTGTTGCTAGATGTAGTTTCTTGGCTTGTCCAAAAATAAAATTAAACAACTGACACTGATGTTTTCGGCCTTTTAAATACTTAAAACCCCATAGAAAAACTTTCATTGAGAAACATTCGCTGAAACATTTGAAGAAAATTACTGAAGACCGTAAATAAAGGTGTCAATCTAGCACACTGGTGAAAGCATGAAATACTGTTTGCTTTTGTACACAAAGTGAATCAACTTCTTGATTAATCACAGAAACAAAAGCGTTCACCGCAATAGCACCATGAAACAACCTCCTGTCATGACTGTGTTTGTCCACAAGATGCCACTGTAGTTTGCCAGCTACTCCCAGCGAACTACAGTGGCTTAAGAACTACATTTCCATACATTCTTTCGCGCACACACCCGGTCTGTCATCTACACTGATTTGCAACCACAGCTGTCTCCATTCTCCATTGATTACCTGGACTATATATTCAGTCATTCATCCTTTATTTGTCAGTTAGTCGTTGTTGTCTTCATTGGTATGTGTTCCTGATCTTGCTCTGTATCTTGTCTTAGTTGTTAGTTAATTTTATAACATTTTTTTTTCCCCAAACTGATATCTGAATCCTCCACTGTCAAACTATTCACTTCTGAGAGAAACCCTCCACAATCCTCCATTTTTAGAGTTACATACAGATCAGGAAATGGATCAGTCTGATCTGGATTAATAAGACCCAATGAATAGTCCAATAACAATTTCAACTCCCTTTCATCCAGTGTTGCTTTCCACCTTTCAAGAGCTCTGGTAACCAAACGAATTAACCTCATCCCCCGTTTCTCAGTCAATGTGCTCACATCTGTGAAATTAGCACCAGTTGCATTCAAAACATGTCAAATTGTTAACAAACCAGAGTTGAGAAGAATTTCCTCTATCACAGCATAGTCTATATCACTGGAGCAGGCCAGACGAGAGCCTAATAATAAAGGCTCCTGCAACAGCCGGTGTAAAGAAGTTACAGTTCTTTCTCTTGGAACCTTGAACAGAGTCCACACTTAAAATATCCCGGTAATAAACAGGAAACCTTGCAAGTTTCAATTTTAGAGGGTCTAGTCAAAATAGGGCTTTGTCCAGCTTGAGTCCACCATACCCTCTCAAAATAGAGCAGGATACACTCCTCCAGTTCGAATCCTCTGACCCATTTAAAAGTCTTTGTATGAATTGGAGTCTGAATGCAGCAGTTCTACTTTGTAGATGCTCCTTCTTCTTTGGGAAGGTATAGTACACTTTTGGAAATCCAGTGCAACTTGTCCCAGAAGAAATCCACTAAACACGACTGAATTTCTGACGCAACTCCTATTGGAGGATCTATACAGCTTAAGCGATGCCAGAGGGTAGAGGCAACTAAATTATTCATTACTGAAAGTCATCCTTTATATGACATCTTTGGAAGTAAAAAATTCCACTTATCAAGTCGACCCTTCACCTTTTCAATGACACCTTCAACGTTTTTCATCATTTTATTTTCATTACCTGAAAAGATACCCAAATACCTTTCTCTTTTCCGCTTCAGCAAACTGGTAATGTGGGTTCACCTTGCAATCAACTCCCAACAATTTGAGCTTCACTTTTTTGCCAGTTTACCTTTGCTGAAGAAATATTCCTAAAATCTTCTAATATTTGTAGCATTACATTCACATCTTTTTGGTTACTAATCAGTACAACCACATCGTCAGCATGAGCTGATCATTTAATAGCTTCAGTGCGATTGGAAATCAGTAAACCTGACATGTCAGCTCTTAATTTATTTAAAAGAGCTTCTATTGCTAATGTATATAGCATCAGGATAATGCACACCCCTGTCTGACACCCCTTAGCACTTTAAAAGGAGAGCATAAGTCACCATTTATCTTTAAAACACTCTCAACGTCACAATATAGAGCTTTAATCATTGATATGAAATCAGAATTAAAACTGAAAGCAGTTAAAACCTTCCATAAATAATTATGATCAACCCAGCCTGATCTCACGAGAAAACGTAAGTATTTTACATTTTGCCAGTTTAGTGGCTAATTCGTATGAATTTGTACGAGTTCAGTCGTACGAAATGGTATGATTTTAAAAAGGAGGCGTGGCACCTAACCCCACCCCTAACCCAACCGTCATTGGGGGATGAGCAAATCGTACTAAATTATACGAATTAGATCGTATGAATTCATACAAATTAGCCACTAAATGAAAAAGTTACGAATTGCCGTGAGATTGTGTTGGATCAACCCTATCAAATGCTTTTTCTTGATCGATCGAATTTAAGCCAAAATCCAAAGAAATATGACGATTGTCTAAAATATCTCTTATAAAAGATTTATTATCAGTAATGCTTCGACCTGGAACACAGTATGTTTGATCTGTTCACCAAACTTTTTGATAATATTTTATAATCATAGCACAGAAGACTTACGGGCCTCCAGTTTTTAATCTCACTTAAATCTCCTTTTTTAGGGAGTAAAGTGATAACAGCTCTGCGGCAACTTTTGGGTAACTGACCCTCAGATAAACTATGATTTAGTACATCCAGCAAATCTGAACCTTCCCTGACCAGAACGTCTTGTAAAACTCAACTGAGAGACCATCAATACCCGGCGTTTTCCCATTCCCCATACTCCTCAAAGCCTTCTCTACTTCCTCCATAGTCAGTGCCTCACTTGAAACTGTGTTGAATTCCTCTGAAACCTGGGGTAAATGGTCAATAAAACACTGTTCATGAGAGGTGTATTGGACAATTCGTTTTTATACAAATCTTGGTAAAATTCTACAGCTCTCTTTCTAATATCTGTAGAATTTAGTGAAAGACCTTTTTCTGAGCGTAGACCATGAATGTGTCTATTCTGTCCATTCTCTTTTTCTAAATTAAAGACACATTTTGAAGGCGCCTCCATAGCCTCAATGCTTTGGAAACGGGATCTTAAAATTGCACCTTGTGTTGTTAAATCTTACAAATCTGACAAGAAAGCTTTTGTTTTCTAAGACTCTGCATCATTCTTGATTTTTCTTAATTGTAAATTCTCCTGCATCTTAATTAAATGATCCTCAAGTTTTTCCCTTTCTTTAATCTTCTCTTTTGTGACGTTGTGAGTGTATTGTTGATACAATTGTTTTATCTGAACTTTAGCCAAGTCCCACCACTGTTGCAAGGTTTGAAATTTAGATTTAGTCATTTGCATATTAGCCCAGAAAGCCTTAAAAACATTTTTAAAATGTTCACCATCCAACAAAATATTATTGATATGCCAATAAGCACTTTTTAGTTTGACACACTTAAAAAACACCTCACATTTCACCAAACTGTGATCAGAGAACCCCACTGGAGTAATCACACAATCTTTAAAAACATTCATTTGATGTTTAAAAGCATAAAATCTGTCTGATCTGGCTAAAGATCTCTGATTTTCATAATCATGTGCCCAGGTTTATTGTCTTTGTGTGTAGTGAAAATTTCTCCAAATATCAACAATATCCTGAGACTTTAATAACTGAACTAGCCGTTTACGTGACTGCACATGATTTCTGTCCATCACATGCTCCGTACAATTAAAGTCAGAACATCTTCAGGACTATAATCCCCCAACACTTTGCACAGAGTGTGTAAAAATAACATTCTCTCAGCAGCAATATTTAATACATAAACACAAATCAATACTAAAGAAGAATGATTATCATCAACAGCTTTGACTTTCAGCAGTCTACCTTTGATCACTTTTTCAGTTTCATAGTGTGTGGGTTTAACATCTTTTAAAACAAAACAGCAACACCACCACTAAGTGACGTACAATGACTCAGTACTGATAGTCCATCAAAACTCATTTCCCATTTGCCTGCATTTGTCGAGTCACTATGAGTCTCTTGTAAAAATAAAACATCTATCTTCCTCTGTAACATAGTTTTTAAAATGTGTGCTCTCTTCCTAATATCTCTTTCACCATTGATATTTAATGAGGCAAAATGTACCACTCCCATGAATAGAAAGAGAGTCAACACATAAAGTAAAGAATAAGACATACTCATGTAAGATAATTAAAGACTTCAGCCATTTTGACTGCTATCTCTTAAATCTGACTGTGCATTTATTTTGGTAATATATTTCCTTAGCCGGA